GGGGGGGGGGGGAGTTTAAAAAGACTTTTAAGATCGGGGGGGGGGGGAGAGATTGTCGTTGCGAAGGAGGAAAGGCTGTCACTCATCTTCCATTAGAGAAAAACCCCAATTTTCATTATCTACCGGGCAGTGCCGTGGATTCTCACATAGATAATTATATTAGTTACGATTATTCCACTAGGTGAGGCCCAATCTGCCCTGTTGGTTAGGAATATTAATATCACTTTACAATGCCTATTAATACCACTTTACAAGGCCTTGGTAAGGCCACACTTGGAATACTGCATTCTGTTTTGGTCACCACGATCTAAAAAAGATGTTGAGACTCTGGAAAGACTGCAGAGAAGAGCAACAAAGATGATTAGGGGACTGGAGGCTAAAGCATACAAGGAACGGTTGCTGGAATTGGGTATGTCTAGTTTAACGAAGAGAAGGATGAGGAGGGACAGGATAGCTATCTTCCAATATCTCAGGGGCTGCCCCAAAGAAGAGGGAGTCAAGCTATTCTCCAAAGCCTCTGAAGGCAACACAAGAAGAAGCAATGGATGGAAACAAATCAAGGAGAGAAGCAACCTAGAACTAAGGAGAAGCTTCCTGACAGTGAGAACAATTAATCAGTGGAACAACCTGCCTCCAGAAGCGGTGAATGCTCCAACACTGGAAGTCTTTAAGAAGAGACTGGACAGCCATTTGTCTGAAATGGTCTAGGGTTTGGTGTGGCCAGCTCTACATCGTTTGCATCAAGGGTGCCTGTGGGGGCCTGGGCAGGAGTGGGACAGATCTGAGGGTCTCTGGCAGAAGCGGGTGGGACCAGGGCAAGCGCCAAGGCATGGTCCACTGGAGGAGCCTCACTCTTCCTCTCAGGCCATGCAGGGGGAGGGGGGCTTATGGAGCTAAGACTGAATGTGTTTCAGCATAGATGGCCACCACAAAATTGTACATGGGCTCCCGGCCGGCCTGGGCCAGGGCCAAGGCAGTGGGGGGTGTTCCCTCATTGTTTCCAGGATGGCTTCGTGGGCCACATGAAACCACTTCATGGGCCGCATCCGGCCTCTGAGCCTTGTGTTAAACATGTCTGGACTAGATGACCTCAAAGGTCCCTTCCAACTTTGATGATGATGATGATGTTGCTCCAGGCTTACTCTTTTGAAGGATCACAGAAGTAGGATGCTGGGAAATCCTCCTGGCAAGGAGGCGTCAGAAAATGCATTTCTAACATCCAGTTCCATTGATTTTCCAAGAAACAGGCTGACGTAGCCGAATCTAAGCCACACAAATGCATCTTTCTGACTATAAAGAGCCGTAGTGGCACAGTGGTTAAAATAGCTAGAATGGAGGTTTCCAACCTTTTGGGCACCAGGGACCAGTTCTGGGGAGAGACGTTTTTCCACGAACTAGAAGGTGTGTGGTTTTGTGTGCTGCCTGCATCCTGTGGATGGGGTTTTGCTTGTTTGTGTGGATTGGTTGCTGGCATGCCGTGTACTGGTACTGATCCACTGACCGGGGGTTGGGGACCCCTGAGCTAGAATGCTGTATTGTAGGCTAACTCTACCCACTGCCAGGAGTTCAACCTTGACCGACTCACCGATAGCAATGGCAATAGAACTTAGACTTATATATCGCTTCATAGTCCTTTTACGGCCCTCTCTAAGCAGTTGACAGAGAGTCAGCCTGTTCCCCCCCAACAATCTGGGTCCTCCTTTTAGCAACCTCGGAAGGACGGAAGGCTGAGTCAACCTTGAGCCGGTCAGGATCGAACTGCTGGCTGTGGGAATGCAGAATTAGCCTGCAATACTGCATTCTAACCACTGGGAGGGAAGGAAAGGAGAGAGGGAGGGAGGAAGGGAGGGAGGAAGGGAGAGAAGGAAGGAAGGAAGGAAGGAAGGGAAGGAAGGAAGGAAGGGAAGGAAGGCAGTAGAAGTAGCACTTAGCCTTGTACACCACTTCACAGTGCTTTACAGTTCTCTCTAAGAGGTTTACAGAGTCAGCCTCTTGCTCCCCAACAATCTGGGTCCTCCTTTTAGCGACCTCGGAAGGACGGAAGGCTGAGTCAACCTTGAGCCGGTCAGGATCTAACTGCTGGCAGTGGGCAGAGTTTGCCTGCAATGCTTCATTCTAACCACTGGGAAGGGAGGGAGGGAGGGAGGAAAGGAAAGAAAAGAGGGAGGGAGGGAGGGAGGGAAGGAAGGAAGGAAGGAAGGAAGGAAGGAAGGAAGGAAGGAAGGAAGGAAGGAAGGAAGGAAGGAAGGAGAAGTAGCACTTAGCCTTGTACACCACTTCACAGTGCTTTACAGTTCTCTCTAAGAGGTTTACAGAGTCAGTCTCTTGCTCCCCAACAATCTGGGTCCTCATTTTACCGACCTCGGAAGGACGGAAGGCTGAGTCAACCTTGAGCTGGTCAGGATCGAACTGCCGAACTGTTGGCCGCCAGCAGCCAGAAGAAGTAGCCTGGAATACGGCATTTTTAACCACTGTGCCCCCAGTCTTTGTCAACGGAGAACTAACCGTATCAGATCAACTTTCTCCACCCTGGCGCTTTCAAAGATGTGTCGGATATCAGTTCCCCAAAAGCATCAGTGGGATGGGGATCCAAGGATAGTCATTCCTGTCAGGCATGCTGGCCGGGGACTTCTGGGCACCTCTCAAAAGTTGCCCAAAGTGTCACGACTGACTCGCTACGCACACTCCGCTCGCAGGCAGACAACAGAAGCAAGGAGGGGTGGGTGGGCTGATTTGGGACTTAAGAGAGGCTTGGGAGGGAATTGTGGAATGCACGAGAGCCAGCGGTCGCTTGGCAACCTCCTGCTGCCCGAGGACAAACGGTTTGGGGAAAATTCCCAGGTGCTCAGACCGTTTTTTCCCAAAACCAATTGAGGGTAATTGATTGGTGGACAGTGAACAGTGGGTGGCCGGGGGGGGGGGAAGGGGAGTTTACTTACGCCGCTTCGGGCGCGGAAACTTCAGAAATGGCTTTGCTCCTTCTGTGCCTGCGTGGAATTATCGGCAAAGCTATATTCTTGGCCAAATAACGTCCCAGGCGTTTCTTTTGCTGCATACGCCAACGGGACAGTGGACACAAAGTTGAGAAATGCTGCATTAAGGTATGAGGGGTCCATGGGAAGAAAGGAAGAGGAAGGAAGGAGGAACATAGAGGATACGTTTGCCACCTTGCGTTATTTCCAGGAGCAACTAGCTAGGAACTTTCGTTGAGTTTCAAGCCACGGGAGAGTTTATTATTGCCACCGCTAATATAAAGGTCTAGTCAACTAACAGTCCAAGCCAAGTTGCCCTAAGTAAGATTCAACGGAATTCATTTGCAACCGTTGTGGCAATGCAAAACTAATGACGTGTTTAATTCCACCTTCCGGCTTAGCTGGCTTTTCTCCTCCTCTCCTGTAAAAGCAATAAAGGCGGGATATAAATGAAAGGAATAATATTCCCACCGTTTAACCAACCGGTACTTGTAAGGTGGGATTGTATCACGCGGGTGCTTTCAGGGCTCCGCAGACTTGGCAACTTGAATACCTGTGGGCAGCCAGGAATTCTGGGAGTTGAAGTTCACAGATCTTAAAAACTGCCGAAGTTTGGAGAGCCCCCGGTCTAGATCGTGGTAGGGCAAGTTCTCCACAGGTTCCCCAAAGGAGGAATCCTTTAGGGACACGCTGGGTTATTTGGGGTTCTACCAGTGAGTGTTCTTTGGAGAGCCTCGGTCTAGATCAGTGGTTCTCAACCTTTTTAATGCCGCGACCCCCAACCGGTCGTAAGTCGAGGACTACCCAACCGGTCGTAAGTCGAGGACTTTCCCTGCCTGGGAGTGCCGCACATGCGTGGTGCCACCCCCTGCGTCGGCCGAGGCGTAGCTGCCAAGCGGCAGAGATGGCGCAGGCCGACCACTGGCTGGGCCACCAGCTGGCCCAGCCCAAGGGAGGTAAGGCATCCGCCGGGCCCCACACGCGCCAGCAACCCTCCCTGCTCCCGCCGGCCTCCCACCTCCCACCCCTGGCCCTCTTTAACTTACATTTTTAGTAGTTGCTCAGTAGGGAGGGGTGGAAGCTTCCAGACAGCTCGCCTTCGCTGCAGATAACTTGCAGCACCGTTTGCAGACTGGGACTTTTGGCGGGCTCAGCAGGGCAGAGACAGCCTGGACAATTCCTGTTGGCTTTTGAAAGCCAATAGAAGTAGACTCTATTCAAGAGAGTCTATTCTATTGGCTTTCAAAAGCCAATAGAATAAAAGGGAGTAGCACAGCTAAGGAAAAGAGGGGGGAAAATGGCAGACTGCGTTGTTTGGCGACCCCCGTGAAATGGTCGTTCGACCCCAAATGGGGTCCCCACCCACAGGTTGAGAACCGCTGGTCTAGATTGTAGTAGGGCAAGTTCTCCAGAGGTTCCTCAAAGGAGGAATCTTTTATGGACACTCTGGGTCAATTGGGGTTCTGCCAATGAACGTTCTTCTTCCGGTCTCTTTTTGTGTTAACAGACGTAGAGAAGTCCTGACAAAAATACGATGTCTATTGACGAGAAGACATCTCTTGTCCTTCATAATAATAATAATAATAATAATAATAATAATAATAATAATAATAGTAAAGTTGGAAGGGACCTTGGAGGTCATCTAGTCCAACCCCCTGCTCAGGCAGAAAACCCTATACCATTTCGGACAAATGGCTGTCCAGTCTCTTCCTAAAAACTTCGTGTTGGAGCATTCACCGCTTCTGGAGGCAGGTGGTTCCACTGATTAATTGTTCTCACTGTCAGGAAGTTTCTCCTTAGTTCCAGGTTGCTTCTCTCCTTGATTAGTTTCCACCCGTTGCGTCTTGTCCTGCCTTCAGGTGCTTTGGAAAATAGCTTGACTGCCTCTTTTTTATGGCAGCCCCTGAGATATTGGAAGACTGCTATCATGTCCCCCCTCGTCCTTCTCTTCGTTAAACTAGACATACCCAATTCCAGCAACCGTTCCTTATATTCTTCCTGATCCCCATTCTCTTTCTCCTCTGCTAGGGCATCTTCTCTCCGGTGGAACACGGGGACGAAGGAGAGGATGCTGATCAAGGTGACGGACCGCGAGCCCAGCTTCCTGATGCACCAGGGTAACGGCTACACTCTTGACCATCAGCAGGGCCCCCGGTCGCGGAGGCCGTCTGGCAGCCAGCCGTCCCCCAACCTCCAAACCTTTGCCACCGATTCCGACAACTCGGTTTTCTTCCCAGAGCGGAAGCAGTCGCCCTTCCTGAAACGGGCCGATCATGTGGGCAGCTGCTCCCCGCTGCTGGGCCGGGGGGATCCCTTCTGCTCCCCGATGCAGGGCCAGCACCGTAAGCACTCCAGCGAGTCGCAGCCCTCCTCCCCGCGCTACGCCTACGAGCCGCCCTTGTACGAGGAGCCGCCCATGGAGTACCAGGCCCCCATCTACGACGAGCCGCCGGTGGACATGCAGTTCGAGGCCAGCGGGAGCTACAAAGCGGGCTCGCCCCAAAAGTCGCCCCTCCGCAAGCCCCACCCGTTCCTGCAGTCGCCGAAGCAAGGGTCCAATTCGCCGTACCAGCAGCTGGTCTTGACCAAGCAGAAGGGCGCCGACCGTTTCATGAGCCTGGAGTACAGCCCGGCCGGCAAGGAGTACGTGCGGCAACTGGTGTACGTGGAGCAGGTGGGATCCAGCCCTACGCTGAAAAGCGCCCCCCGGCACAAGTACTCCCCCAACCCCATCGGCGGCTCCTACTCGCTGCAGCACAGCCCCTGCCTGATGCGGGACCAGCGCCTGGAGATCAAATCTGGGGACTACAGTAGCATGGAAGCGGCAGAGTTCCGGCACAGCCCTTCGCCCATCGTGCCGTCGCAGGGGGAGGACGCCATGTCCTGCTCCAGCCTGCAGAACACCTTGTCCTCCACGGGTTACTCCCCGGGCAGCCGCAAACGGAAGAGCCGGAAACCCACTCTTTCGTACGACCCCAACACCTCCTCCACCGACGGGTCCGGCGAACGCGAGGAAGCCACGCCAGAGGACAGGCCTCTGTCCGGGTGTAGCCGGTCCCCGGGCGGGCGTCTGGAGAGCCGGTCGGTAGAGGGCGAGCCCAGCAGGGCTTCGGCTGAGCCCTTCCTAGCCCAGGCCCGCCTGGCTTGGGAGGCACAGCAGGCCCACTACTACATGAAGCAGCGCAGCAGTTGGGACTCCCAAAAAGACGGTTCGGGCTACGAGAGCGACGGGGCCGTACCGCTGCCTATGCCGGGTCCGGTGGTGCGCGCCTTCAGCGAGGACGAGGCTCTGGCCCAACAGGAGAACAAGCACTGGAAGCGCAACCCGTTTGAGAAGCTGGCCTTTCCGCAGATCCTGCTGGAGAAGAGTATCTCCGTGCAGACGAATTTGGCATCGCCCGAGCCGTACTTGCATCCGTCCCAGGTAAGACGACCAGGAATGAGCAGGAAGTTGGGCTGGGGTTTTTTTTTGGGAGGGTTAAAGTTGCACCATTTCCCTTCTCCCTTTTTTTTGAAATTGCCCTTGTTGTTGATGATGATGCTAATGATGATGACGTTGTCCATTTGTTCGTACCGGATTCTTGGCGATTCTAAGGGCCAGGGGGTCCCTCCAATCTCTTTCGGTCACGCACTGCGTCTTTGAGTCGATCTGCGCTCCGGCGGGCGTCCGCTGGGATAGTGTCCGGCCACCGTCTTCTTTGGTGGCCCGGTTGCCTTTGATCACCAACTCTTCCCAACATAATTTGCCTTCTCCGGGGAATTCCCACCCCGCGTGACGAGGCCAGAGTTAAGTTTTGAGAAGGCGATTTTGTGATTCATTGTTGGTGGCCTGAACCGAAAACGCACACTTTTCCCAGACTGTACATGAGGAACCACCGGGATGTCAGAGCTGTCCTCGTGTGGTGCCGGTGATCTCAGATCCAAAGCTTCGACTTAAAGGCACGGTGATGGCAAGAAGCATGACACGTCGCTTCCAGCATGCCCCATCTCGAAAGCATAGTGTTGGTGGGCTTTGATGTTTCGTGGAGTACTCTCAAAGCTTGATTGTTATAGACGTGTCATTACCCAAATAAGTAATGTCATAATCGAGTTTCATTTCGTTTCCTTCCTTCCTTCCTTCCTTCCTTCCTTCCTTCCTTCCTTCCTTCCTTCCTTCCTTCCTTCCTTCCTTCCTTCCTTCCTTTCTTCCTTCCTTCCTTCCTCTCTCCCTGATCTTGTTGTTATAATTGATTTTCCTTCCTTCCCTCCCTCCCTCCCTCCCTTCTTTCCTCCCTCCTTCCTTCCCTCCCTTCCTTCCTTCCTTCCTTCCTTCCTTCCTTCCTTCCTTCCTTCCTTCCTTCCTTCCTTCCGTCCTTCCTCCCTCCCTGAGCTTGTTTGTTATAATTGATTTTCCTTCCTTCCTTCCTTCCTTCCTTCCTTCCTTCCTTCCTTCCTTCCTTCCTTCCTTCCTTCCCTACCTACCTACCTACCTACCTACCTACCTACCTTCTCCAACACTGGAAGTTTTTAAGAAGAAACTGGACAGCCATTTGTCCGAAATGGTATAGAATTTCCTGCTTGAGCAAGGGGGTGGACTAGATGTTCTCCAAGGTCCTTTCCATCTGTTATTCTGTTATTTTCCTTCCTTCCTTCCTTCCTTCCTTCCTTCCTTCCTTCCTTCCTTCCTCCCTCCCTCCCTCCCTCCCTCCCTCCCTCCCTCCAACACTGGAAGTTTTTAAGAAGAGACTGGACAACCATTTGTCCGAAATGGTATAGAGTTTCCTGCTTGAGCAGGGGGTTGGACTAGATGACCTCCAAGGTTCCTTCCATCTGTTATTCTGTTATCTTCCTTCCTTCCTCCCTTCCTTCTTTCCTTCCCTTCCCTTTCCTTCCCTTCCCTCCTTCCTCCCTCCCTCCCTCCCTCCCTCCCTCCCTCCCTCCCTCCCTCTCTCCCTGCGAGCTTGGTTGTTTTCTTATAGACATTTCATTACCCAACTTGGTCACATCTTCAGTGCTAGAAGGGCAGTTGGTTTCATGTTTTACAAAATACACTGACTTTGATTTTCTGGGCTCCTCCTCTTTTTTGCGGAGTATCATTTATACTATTTTTTGCCGTTGCTGATCCCTGGCGTTGGTTCCCTACATGGTTGCCCTAAGGCAGACTCTATAATGATGGAACTAAATTTTTGGGGGGAATCCCATAAAAATCCAAAATTGTTTAATCATCCTTCGATCGTGCAGTTCTGAGAGTCTGTCGCACCACAAGCGGGCGAGGTGGCCTTAATGTGGGAAGTGACATTATTGCACAATTTAGACAACCCGTCGCTTCGGTTTTGCTGACCCCGTGCTTTTTTTGTGATTGCCGAAGGAACCCTCAACTCTGCGTTGTGATGAGCAGCTGTTTGTGCCGTTTTGAGCTGCCGTCGCCTTATGACACAGACAGTGCCTAACTTATATAATTTGTCACATTTCTATTATTGCACAAATGGTAGCGGATTATGTAAGTTCTGCAAAGATATCCTTTTTGTGTAGTAAGGTCATGATGTTTTGGATATCAAATATACGAGTCCGAAGGGGATTTCAGCAAAAATAAGGATAAAGCGAAAAAAAAAAAAAAAGGGACAGGAATTCTGCTCTAAAGAGGGAGAAAGGAAAGGACGCACAACAGTGCTTGGAAAGCAAATGAGATTTTTCCTGTAGGGTCCTTGGTTGCTCTCTTGAGTTTGGAGGTTTCCTTGCAGACGTTTCATGACCCAACTAGGTAACATCATCAGTGGTAGAAGGGAGGGGGATTTGCAGAGATGGAGGAGGAGGGGGGGGATTACAGGGTCCTGGGTGCTCTTTGAGCTGGGCGGTTTTCCTGCAGACATTTCATTACCCAACTGGGTAATGTCATCAGAGAGTGGGGTTTGCACCTTCTGGCACTGAGGATGTTACCTAGTTGGGTAACGAAACGTCTGCAAGAAAATCATCAAAGCTCAGAGAAAATCAATGACCCCACAGTTCTCCTCCTTCTCCTCTTCTTCTTCTCTTCCTCCTCCTCCTCCTCCCCACTGCCATCTAGCACTGATGACATTACCTAGTTGGGTAATGAAACGTTTGCAAGAAAACAACCAAGCTCAGAGAACATCAATGACCCCACAGTTCTCCTCCTCCTCTTCCTCCTGCTCCTCCTCCCCCTCCCCCTTCTGCTCCTCCTCCCTCCTCCTCTCTGCAAACCCCCCTCCCTTCTAGCACTGATAATGTTATCTAGTTTGAGTCATGAAAAGTCTGCAAGGAAACCACCAAGCTCAGAGAACATCAATGACCCCACAGTTCCCCTCCTCCTCTTCCTCCTCTTCCTCCTCTTCCTCCTCCTCCTCCTCCCCACAAACCCCACTGCCATCTAGCACTGATGACATTACCTAGTCGGGTAATGAAACGTCTGCAAGAAAACAACCAAGCTCAGAGAGCACCAGGGACCCCATAGTCTTCGTCTTCCTCCTTCTCCTGCTCCTCTTGCTCCTCCTCCTCCTCCTCCCCACAAACCCCACTGCCATCTAGCACTGATGACGTTACCTGGTTGGCTCATGAAACGTCTGCAAGAAAACCACCCAGCTCAGACACCACCAAGGACCCCATATTTCAACCTGGGGTACAGGATATTTTATTCTATCTTTTTTCTCAGCGACATTGAAACCTGCTAGAAGAGTTCGTTGTGATTTCCTTAGATCTTCTGACAGTTTTCTGTCTGTTTCCGACGAGTCAGAACGAGCCGGTCTGAGTGGTGAGGATCAGTGCAACAATTGATTCAGCTGCAGATTTCCCAGCCTGGAACCCTTGAAACCTTCGTTTAAAAAAAAAAAAGGACTTTTTGCAAGAGAAATTTGCAAAAATTTAGACTCGCCCACCGCAGAAACGGCCCTGATCCTTTACAAGGGAGAAAAGGAGGGCACCATCCAATATAAAGGAAATAATAATAATAATAATAATAATAATAATAATAATAATAATAATAATAATAATAATATCCTTCAAGCTGACAACATCAAGCACACTGAAGTCAAGAAAAAGATTAGAGGTGAATACATCAAGAGAGTGAAGAAGATCTTAAAATCCAAACTCAATGGAGGAAATACCATAAAGGCAATCAACACCTGGGCAATCCCAGTCATTAGGTACACAGCTTGAATAGTGGACTGGACTCAAGCAGAACTAAAAGCAATGGATAGGCAGACCAGAAAAATAATGACAATGAATCATGCCCTTCATCCACGCAGTGACATTGATAGACTTTATCTACCAAGGCAAATAGGTGGGCGTGGAATGCTACAATTACATCAGATGGTTGAAGAAGAAAAAATGGCTTTGGAAGAATATCTGAAGAACAATGATGAAGATGCACTGAAATTAGTATATCAGGAAGGCTTACTAACTACTGGAGAGACCAAACTGGCCTACAAGAAAGACCAAATGAAGAACAGACTAGAGGCATGGGAAGACAAAGCACTACATGGCCAATACATGAAAAAAAGAGCTGGGAAAGCAGATAATAATAAAACCTGGCAATGGCTAAGAGCAGGAAAATTGAAGAAAGAGACCGAGGGACTAATTCTGGCTGCACAAGACCAAGCCTTAAGGACAAATGCATACAAAGTCAAAATTGAGAAGACAGCCACAGACAGTAAGTGCCGCCTATGCAAAGAAGCTGAAGAAACAGTGGACCACTTGGTAAGCTGTTGCAAGAAGATTGCACAAACTGATTACAAGCAGCGGCATGACAAAGTAGCAACAATGGTGCATTGGAAGATCTGCAAAAAATATCATTTTCCTGTAAGCAAAAACTGGTTGGATCATAAAATAGAGAAAGTCATAGAAAATGATAAAATTAAACTGCTCTGGGACTTCAGAATTCAAACAGACAAGCACCTGCAACATAACACCACAGACTTAACAATTGTCGATAGAAAGACAAAAAAGTCTGGATAGTGGATGTGGCAGTGCCTGGAGACAGCAGAATAGATGAGAAAGAACTGGAGAAGATAACAAAATACAAAGACCTACAAATAGAAATAGAAAGACTGTGGCAAAAGCAAGCAAGGGTAGTACCAATAGCCATAGGCTCCTTGGGTGCAATCCCAAAACAACTGGAGCACCACTTGAACACCATTGGCACTGACAAATTTGCTATTAGTCAATTGCAAAAGGCGGCCTTACTAGGAACTGCTTCCATCCTGTGACGATATCTGTAATACCATCAAACATCCACATCTGCCTATCCCAGGTCCTGGGTAAGGACTCGATAGGTAGACAAAATGCCAAATCCAGTCTGAACATCCGGCTGACTGTGCGATGATCGATAATAATAATAATAATAATAATAATAATAATAATAATAATAATAATAATAATGTTGGAAGGGACCTTGGAGGTCATCTAGTCCAACCCCCTGCTCAGGCAGGAAAC